CTCTGTTAATGTGATTGCAATTTAAACTTCTCAGTTGTACAATCAAGATATCCTCTATTTTTATTTTGCTTCTTATAACTTTGTTTTCCCCCTTCATTTTCTCCGTGTTGTAGTAGCACTTATCGAACTTTGTTTCTTGCAGATGGGTTTGGATTTTACCGTGAAAGCTATCTATACTGGCATTTGGATTGCTGCTGTTTCTCTCTTTATGGAGTTGCTGGGTGTCAATACCAAGAAGTGGATAACTGCTGGAGGTTTTGGGACAGTATTGCTTACTCTTGCTGGTCGTGAGGTACTACAGAACTTTTGTATTGATAGTATAATCTTGTGCGATAGCGCTAAAATAGGACTAATAGCTATCCCAATTCGTTGCAGATTTTGACTAACTTCATCTCGAGTGTTATGATCAACGCCTCACGCCCATTTATTGTGAATGAATGGATCACTGCAAACATAGATGGTGTTGAGATCACTGGTGTTGTTGAGGTCGATGTCTTCTTGAACTATTTCTCATTTACTGTGGATATGCTGTTCTTCTTTGTTTCATTTTATGTGCGTATTTAAACAATAGTCATCTGAGTATGTAGTTATTTCTTCCACGATACATGGTTTTGTTTTTATATACTGATAGTTACTAGTTGCACGCTCATACCAAATTTTGTTGATGCTTCATCTTGTCATCACACTAACTTAAATTAATTTGATTTTCAGCGTGTTGGTATGTGGTCTCCAACAGTTCTTAGAGGTGACGACAAAGAAGCTATATACATTCCTAACCATAAGTTCACAGTGTCCATAGTGAGAAATAACACTCGAAGGAGCCACTGGCGTATTAAGAGCTATCTTGCGATAAGCCACATGGATGCTGGAAAAATCAGTGTAACAGCTTTGAATCAGTCTCGCACATTACACCTCTCTCTTCTACTTCTTTCGTTATATGGTAACCTAACTTTAACCAGTCTCTCTGTTTTCCTTTGGCAGATAATTGTTGCGGACATGAGGAAAGTCTTGGCTAAAAATCAGAATATAGAACAACAGAGGCTACATAGAAGAGTATTTTTTGAGAAAATTGACGAAACGACCCAAGCTCTCATGGTACTTTATTTATTATAAGTAATTCGGTTTTTTAAATGTAAATGCTAGTGCATGATCACCCGTTTTGAAGCATTGTATCATGAGTGTGGGACACCTTGGTTGGCCACTGGCCAGAGCGTTCTTGTTGTTTACCTTGTTTAAAATATGCTCAGTAGGTGTCTCCCTACTACTCCCTCCGTATCAAAAATATAAGACGTCCTTGTAGGCTAGTTTAACCTACAAAAATGTCTTATATTTTGGTACAGAGGTACTATTACTAAGCTAGGAACTGATCGAAACCCTGTGATAATAGGCTATTATTCAATTTCATTCAGCTCTCCTCAAAATTTGCAGCTATAGTTTTAGTGCAAAATCTAAAACAGACCGATCAATTTTACACCGGCAATACTTCAGCGTGAAAATCCTTAAACTCCTAACATGTAAGTTGTCCAGTTTTATGGAAGATGGATGTAGGTAGTAAAAAAAAGTATGTTAGTGGGTAGTTGTTTCTTTTCCTTTCTATTTTCACATCTACTTTCTTGCCTTTGCGTTTAACTTGTGTCAAGATTCTTCATTTCATGCCCATGCATCTATTTGTTTAAATTCTTTAAAATATTACACATTCTTCTATTCTATTACTTCCAATTTTACATTAGTCCTGAACTCCTAAATATCTAAGGTTGGTATCATTTTGTTGTGTTGTCCTGTAGATTTATGTATCCTGCTTTGTGAAGACTTCACATCTTGAGGAGTATCTGAATGTCCAGGTAACATATCTGTATAGGATGCTATATATTCTGCTCATAATAGATAACGGGCACATATTTTGTTTGGCATATGCATATTTTGTGCTAAAAGGTACAAGTTCTGTCGAGAACATTATTTTCTAGCTCGGTAGTGTTCGTAAAAATAGAATCAGCTGTACAAAACATTCTGATCCATTGAGTCTGATTCTCACCAGTTGGCGAGAACTGGAATTTGACCAGTTACTTATGGAAACCAGTGATAAACCACATGGAATCATTTTTCCTAATCATGAAACAAAAATACATATAACTGCCTTGAAACACCAATCAGGATGACAAGTTGATAATGAGCGGAGTATAAAAACTGCAGCTGGTTCTACTTTTTCCGATGTACACTAAAATTCATAGCATCAACTAGTGTCGTGAGCTGTGTGCTACTAGAAAATCTAAACAAGTATCACATAGAAGTGATATGGTGCGTAATTATTATTTTTGAACTGGATATGTGTGTAAACTTGGTAAAAATGGGATAAAATCATGGAGACATGCAGCATGACTATTGCACATAATATTGCGAGCCAATTTGCTGATTCTGTTTGGTTCCGGTCCTCCCTGTAAAGTTTGGTTGCTATGGGGACGTTGCAGTTGTCTACCTGTCATCCTGCTTTGTGAAGACTTCAACCCTGAGCCTTAAATTTGAAACATCCACATGATATTTGCATGAATCTATGCATAGCATCAGTGATTACTCCAAATGATTTCTGAACCCCTGATTTGTTCACCATGTGGTACTACTTCATTTATCATTTCCTCTCTGATATTAATAGGGAAGACTACATAGGAGTTCTTTCATTTTGTTTGTAGATGAAGTTTGACAGGAGGAGCATAGAATCCATTTTTGTACCATGTGTGTTTATTTTATCAGCATTTAGATATCACTCGAAACACTGATACAATGTTTTTGATGTTCCAATACACAACAGGAGGAAGTTTTGTTGGATTTTCTTAGAATAGTTGGCCATCACAGGGCAAGGCTTGCCACCCAAACTCGAACGGTCCAGAAATCATATGGCAACGCAGACATAGATAACATTCCTTTTGGAGAGGAGATGTACACTCGTGTACGTGGCCGTCCACTTCTGATTGACACCTCTGCAAAGGTCAGTGAAGGCAAGTCTAAATCTAGATCAACCTCACGTGAAGATCAGAGAGTCAAGACAAGCGCATCGGCTGAGGCCAGGGCAGGTTCACCAGATAGTGCTAGTGTAAGCAACTCTGACAAGAAGGAACAGAAAAAGATAGTGTCAGAAGATGGTCCGATGAAGAATAGCAAGAATGATCATGGGATGTCAAGACAAGCATCTCTGGCTGGTAAAGGGGAGCCTCGAGGATCCGAGGCCACGGAGCGACAAGGAGATGGGTCAGTTTCTCTTCCTAATCCTAAGAAAGAATCTAGACCTGGCCTGGAAGATAACATTGTTCTGGGTGTAGCACTTGATGGCTCCAAGAGGACACTCCCCATCGAACAAGGAACAGATCCTCATGCATCCGAAAGCGAGCAAGGCACAGTTGAGGTTGGTTCATTGCCGAAGGATAAGAAAGGTCAAAGCCATATGCCATGAGGGGGGTCGATCAAGTCACCTAGAGAGGGCCGGCCACACGAACTTTGATTCTTGACAGGCGATACAAGCTCAAGCAGGGTCCTTGCCAGGGATTCGTCACCATGCCTACCTTTTTTGTGTGCTGGTGCAAATGCTTTCTGC